TAGCCTACTTTAGTATACTTTATTATACTTTAGTATGCTTTATACTATTTCATTAAAAGGGAGGAAAATACTAAATCAAAAGAATTCATCAAATGTCCTTTCATAGTCCATTCCCTATCATTATTATTACACAGTTATAGATAAATTCACACTGGTTTGATCATTATATGTTATCTATATATTTAAAATTCACTTTTTTTTGTCTTTTCTTTTTTGGTTCTGGGGATTGAACCCAGGACATTGCACTTGCTAGGCAAGCACTTTGCCACTGAGCTACATCCCAGCCCTAAATTTCACTCTTCATCCCATAAATATGTACAATTATTATCCATTGCACTACTATGTACAGAGAGTTTCTGCAGGTGGTATTTTCCTTGCCCGAATGCTAAAGAAAAAAATAGAAATAAATAATAAATAGTAACTTATAAAGCTCATGTAAAGAAAGATGCTAGAGTTCATTTTAAAGTGGAAAAATCTTTTTAAAATTTTACATTTTATAATTACTTTTCTTGGTGGCTTATGGTCAAGGTAACAGAATTTTCTGTGAAAGTCTTTTTTAACTTTAGAAGCAACATTTGTTAAAATAAATTTTCTACAAAGTAAGGTTTCCATAGCAACTGTAACTGTCTTTTATTTTCCCATGTACAATTTAGAATTAGTTGACAATAATAATTATAGACCACTTACGCTAAAACATTTGGTATATAGTAAAGACACATATAAAGACAGGGTTTTGGAAATATTGTCCTATTTAAAAAAACTCAAATTACTTTTAAGGAAGATTTGATATTTTAATATAGATAGAATTATGTCTATATCTCCAGTGTGAAGTCATAAGATGATAATTGATATTGACCAAGGAACATTTTTCCCTTTTGCAATTTTGAAATCACATTTATTACAGTAAGTTTTTATTCATCTTTTCTCACATTGGTAGATATGTCCTTTCCTTAACTTTGGATATAGTGTATTAGACAATAGATTATACACACACAGATACACACAGACACACATTATCATAATTTTCTTCTATTTACCAGGTCTCTTAGATTATAGAGCCTTTAAAGAAAGTGAAATAATGTTCTATATAATTGGGAAAATTACCACTAAACTGCGGAACACAAAAATGAAATTGAAAAGTTATATCCCTGATACTTTAGATTTTCTCATATTGTGTTATTGAAAGCTAAATATACCTATCTAACTCAATGGCTTTACAGAACTGAGATGAAAGCATGAAAGTAGTTTTCATTCATTTGATTATTAATAGTGACAATTAGAACAGTATTATACTAGGCATCATATCCCAGTTCAAAAATAGGAAAAATTTGAATTAAAGTCATTTTGCAATTGCCCCTTGAAATAAGTTTTATTCATGCTATCTCTTTGCTCAAAAATAGAAGTAAATATCATCACTATGATGATACTATGCAATAACAAATTATGGTCTGCTTCAGTGCATGAAAAAGATAAAAATTGTTCTGTGATATAGCAGAATAAAATTGTCTACCTATGTCTTTTAGGATGCTGGGGTATGGTGGAGAAAAGAATATTATTTTATGGGCTGTGGTGAATGGCGGAAGAGGGAGAGAAGACAAGGAAAATGTGTTGTCTGGAGATCAGCTGAAGCAATGAGAGTTCTAATTAATCCTCCTACTTCTTTTTTTTTTTTTTTTTTTTTTTGAGCTTGTTCGCAAAAAAAATGGCTCATAGGTTCACAGGGACAGCAAGAGGGAGGAAAGTACTCTGGAAGTTGCTTGGAGAAGTGAATCTGTGTAGGTCCATGAATTGACTATGGTGTACTCAGATTCTCTGCTTCCATCTCTTCCTGGAGAGAACGATGGCCCTTGGGGAGTGTCAATGCAGACCTGGTTCTTAGAATTGTGGGCCGCAAGGGGAATGGTATTCTTGTCCTTTCAATCAACCTGACTGGAATGTTTTAGAACTGGGCTGGTTTTCCTCTCAGTTTTCCTCCCCTTATGTTCATCATCCCATCTGTTGGATCTAGATTCTGATAGAAAGACTCTCCTTAACCTTTTTTTAGATTCTGATTTTTCAGTATTCATAATTCAATTTTATAACAAATTTCTTTCATACCATCAATATTGTAATAATCAACAATGTTCTGCTTCTCAGAGAATTTACATTTGGAAGGGTTTTAGGGAAATGTCAGTGATTTGCCATTGAGTGTTTTATTTGCAAGATGGCTATTGCACTTCTTATGCAATAGATGCAGGAAGTGATAGGAGAGATGTAGCTCGGATGTAAGAAATTTGGGAATTGACCATGCATCATTTTAAAGCTGTAAAAACAAGATTATTTTAGCAAAGGAGCAGCAGTAATAGAGAACAGAAGTGAACTGAAAAGTCCTAGTTGACCACCTAAGCTAGAAAACTGACTAAACAGAGAACCGATCAGGGCAAAGCAAGGGGCTATGGAGGGTCAGATGTCATATAGAGGAAGGGCATCAAGGGTGAGTCTGAAATGATCTATATGAAATGCTACTCATGGGTTGAACAGTGTGAGTTCTGAGTATTGACCACTGGATTTAGCAACTGTTGGCGATGTTGTTAACCATAATAGGAACAATGTTGTAGGAGATGTAAGGATGGGAAATGGCCATGAGTGGTTTTCCAAGAAAGAACGAGAAAAGAAACAGTGACTATAGAAATGGAGAGGGTGAGAATAGAAAGTTCTGTCACAGTTTTGATGTGAAAGAACACAGAGGATTAAATGTTTTCTAGAGCTGAAGTAGACTCCGGGAGATTATTTTCTGGTTTCCTTTTTATTATTATTATTTTGGGGATGGAAAAAAATAAATCGTATTTGTGTTGTGACAGGAATGTTCAGAAGTGTAGTGAGAACATTAGCTGAGGAAAAACTTGCTGAAGTAATGTCCTAAAGAAGGAGAGAAAAGTCAGAAGGACAGTTCACCATGTGCAATGTGAAGAAGAAAAGCAGAGTGAAGTGGCACAGATGGAGGTAGGTGGAAAGAAGTAGGTGCTGGTTCTGGTAGAATGTCTCTTCTATGATTCATAGCATGTCTTTTTTAATGAGTGAAAGAGGAACCGATTTTCTGTTTGAAGTTTCCATTTATTCTGAGAGTGAATGGATGCAAAAATTGCAGTATGATTGCCTAGCAGCTTGAAGGATGCAAAAACAGGGAGAGGGAGAGGATGGAAGAGAATAATAAAAGAGAATGAGCATGATGAAACTATATTGCACGCATGTATGGAAATACCATTATGAAACCACTTACTCTGTAAAAAATTAGTATGTGTTTAAAAATTTAAATGCCTCCAAACACACTTGTGGACATGAACTACATTTGTGGTTATGATCTGGAATATAGTCTGAGGAACAGATAGGCCTCAGATTGGATTTAATTGGGTTAAGATGTTTCCAACTGAATGTACAAAAGTAGGAGGAGGTCAACAAGAAAGGGATTATACCCAGACATTGGTGGAGCATTCAGGAGACAGAGATCAGGAAGATCATAGTCTGAGGATAGCCCAAGTTCACAATATTCCTCCTGAACCAATAGCTGAACCTGTGTATCCTCCCATCCTCCCAGTTGTACAGGAAGCTAAGATCAGGAGAATCACAGCTCCAGACCATCCAGGGCAAAAGTGTTTGGAATATGTTGGTATGTACTAACTTCTTTCACTATAGCTAGTGCTCTATCATTGTGCCACACCTTCCATTCTTGCTTTTTGTTGGTTAACTGGAGATAAGAGTTTCCAAGATTTGTTTGCCTGGGTTGGCTTGGAACTGTGATCATCAGCTCTAAGACTTCTGAGCAACTAGGTGGATAGGCATGAGCAACCAAAGCCAAGATGTCAATGTTTATGCAAATTCATTGGAAGATGGACTTAAAAGAGAAAAGTGCCTTTCCCACTCCTTGTAGTGCTTGTTCATCTTCTGGATTTTAATTGAAGCATGTCTCTCAAGTTAGCAGATGTATGAGTCAGTGGTTATATTCTTGATAAAATTTCTTAACTTTACTTCCCATGAAACTTACTCTTTATGTGTTCATGAATTGCATGCACACCTGTGTTTTATATATAAAAAGAGCAATATTTCCCCCAGTTTGATTCACTTTAGGGTCTTTATTGCGTCCATGGAGAAAACATTATTAAAGCGATCAGTTCCTTATTGTTATTATTATTATTATTATGTTTGAAAAAATCCATTTACTAGAATGTTTGGCATCATAAACTGGTTCTTAACTTTAGAGCTTTTGGCTTTGATTATATAACAGAATGTCTAGGAATTTTATTATTATCATGAATGTCAAAATGCCTGACAGTATGAACATTTGCTATTTACCCCAATAGTCAGAAAGCTGGCCATAATATTTTTTGTTAACAAATAAAAGATCGTCAAGTTCATCCAATGATGTCATTAAACATATTCTCATTTTAGGAAACAAGACTATCAAGGCATTCCAGTGGATAAATTTAGGATGTTCACTAGAGTTCACTTTTACATATTCATGATGTTAAGGACATAACTTAAATGGTACATCTAAAATGAGACATTCTAAAAACCATTGAATTTTCATGGAGAACTGAAAAAATACATAGTTTTATACTTTACATATTACACTCACTGGGAAAATGAAGATGTGTGTGTTTGAAGCCTGTGCAGAATTCATTGAGGGCCCTATAAGGCAGCTGAGGATTCCCACTTGCAAGAATAATCCAGCGTAGCTCTGAGTGTGGATAGTGGTTTGCCCCAAACAAAGGATAGGGAGACCCACTCTGAGCACTAAGTCCAAGACTTGCCTTGCACAGCTAATTGTTATACTCAACAGCTTTAACTGATGGCGAAAGGAGTAATTTACTTGGCAAATACCTTTAAATAGAAAAGATGTTTGGTGTTTTATTTTTATGTTCACACATCCTTTCTCCAGGCTATTCGAATATAACTGCTCTTTATGGTAAAAGAAAATTTAGTAGTGCTAACACCTTCTCCAATGAGTGATACATAAAACTTCATTTGATGTATGTATTGTGATATTTTATACTTGACAATTTCAGATAGCTGTGCATTATCTCAATTGCTTTGGGTTGTGGTGTTCATTAGCTATTTTTGAGATTCCAGTGTGTCTAAACAATATGTGTAGTTGCCATGGGAGATGTGAAATATTCTAGCAACAAAGGAATGCATCAGCAAGACTTAAGATAAGTGGCACCCAGGAGACTCCTCAGTGGTTTACAGACATCCATACACACCGAGACATTATCAATCCAGTTAATTGCACACAGCAAATAAATTGCAGGTGGCTTAAAACCAGAAATCATCTCCCCCACTACTCCTAGTGCTTGCTCGTTCTCTGCCTTTTAATCGAAGCATCTCCATAATACTCCGCGCATAGACATCTCTCAGATTAACGCTGATATATGAGTCAGTGGCTATATTCTTGGTGAGCTTCTTCAGAGCTTCACGCTGTCTAACAGCTGCCTCCTTGAGTTTCAAGGTGAAGTAGCAAGCAGAGAATCGATCATTAATAATAGCAATAGGCAAGGCCAAGACAAGGATTCCTGATAATATACACATGAAGGCCACAATTTTGCCTGTGGTAGTGTCTGGTCTAATGTCCCCATATCCTACGGTAGTCATGGACGTTGTGGCCCACCACCATGCACAAGGGACGCTTGTGAAGGTTGTATCAGGAATGCTTTGCTCTGCAAAATATTCTATAGTTGAAAATATAGAAATCCCCACAGATAGAAATAGGAGTAGTAAGCCAACTTCTTCATAGCACTGGGTGATCGTCATCCCAAGTGAGCGTAATCCTGCAAGAGAACGGCAGCTGTCAATCATCAGCACCCCCTTTCCTTCTCCCTTCTTTACCTCATCCTCCTCTCCTTGCAGGCTGTCCACCCACGAGCATGCACTGCAAACCAAATACATCCCAAACATTGAGCAATATTGTAAGGATACAAGTAGGATCAAATCACACCCTGTCTTCAGATAACAGGTTATGAAGTTGTTGGAGTCAGTGTTAGATTATATTCATTTCTTCACTTGTATCATTATTGAGCTTCAGCTATTCATATTTCAAATGCAAATAATTAGACCATAACACACAGGTACATCATAGGAGCTTTTTTCATTGTATATAATGAACTTCTTTTGCAGGGTTGCCTGTAGAGGGCTCATTTGGTCAAACCTTACATTGTTTCACTGCTGCTTTCTAACACCATTTTCATGTTGATTTGTGTGTGTGTGTGTGTGTGTGTGTGTGTGTGTGTTTGTCTGCCTTTCTTATCCCCCTGATAAAATTGAACAGAAATAACATCTCCTTGCCAAAATGTCAGATGAAGAGTGTCCACTATGAAACGAACATGACAGCCGGAGCAAGTAAGGCCTTGGTAACCAAACTGACACACATATATCCTCATGTGATATTCTTAGCGGTGTTCAAGGAGAAGGTCCTGGGACCCCGAAAACATGCATTGGAATTCTAGTCCTTAATACAAATGCTATCTGGAATTGCCTCTTTTAGCACATACAATTTCTCCTTCCTTGGAAGAAGGTAGAGCTATGCATGGAGCATTCCTCCATTACAAGAGAGTACAGAAATGGTGTCACTGGAGAATTCACTCACTAGGAGCATTGGTACTTTTCCCACTGCTAGAGCTTATGATTTATTGAACATCTGAGAGACAGACCCAAGGGAGTCACATTTCACCAGTGAAGACACTAAGCCTTAAGGAGAGTAGGAAGAGCCCACAACAAACCCAAATTAGAACTAGCCATCACATACCCTCTCTAATGCATGAGAGATGCTTCTAAGAGTGTCCACATTGTGAAATCAGTTCACCATAATATCACACTAATTGTCTTAGAATTTCAAAGTATGACTTCATAGAACTATTTTATATTTTAGTCATTCACCAGAGATTATTTGAAACACATTGGAATACTACGCTAACTCATATGATTTTGAATTTTGCTATTAGAATTTTTAGATATTCTTGCATTATTATTACCTATTTTTAAATGAACATTAGTTTTAAAGTTTAACTCCAAAAGAATATAATGCAGAATATCTTTATAATACCTCTTTAGAAAGTGAGCTTTGATGTGTCTATATGGAATGACATTTCTGACAAAATATGATGAGAAACATAAAGATGTCAAGAAAAACTGTTTTTATCTAAGGAAGAAATGTTCCAGGCCTGGAGTCACAAATCAAGCAGTAGAGTACTTGTCTGACAAAAGAGAAGCCCTGAAGTCAAACCCCAAGACCAGAAATAAGTAAATAAAAATAAAGTAAAATGAAAATAAGGACTAAATGTTTTCAGGAACTGTGTAAAGAAACACAAAAGGGTTTAGATTCTTGGCATGTTACATCTGTTAACTCAGATAATCCTCATAAATGAATACATTGTTCCACTATTTTATAGAGAAGTAGCTCATTTAGTAAAAAGCCACAAGGCCAGTACTTAAGCTTAGCCCATCTGACCTTTTAACCATTATTCTACAACATGCCAATTTTTATAATTTAAAATACAGGTACAGATTTGACTAGCTAAACATTTCTAAATATCATGCTGGATGTAAAATGATCAAACATTTATTAAATTGTGCTATTTTCAATAAATACTGGTTTTATTAATGCTTTATAACTGATTTAGAACTGGGAAAACTTTTGAAGAGGTGACACTGGAAATTACTATTATTTTCCTTTTCCTTTCTTCTGGGAAAAAAATGTGGCTGTTGCCTGTGGTGTTTTTAAAATTGAATCCCGTGAAGAGTTTATAAATACTTGAAGAAAGCACCCCATTATGTCTGTCACAAAACAAAGAACGGTACTTTGAAAAGTTGTCAGGAACCCTTAGGATGTGGTAAGACTAGCTGGGAAAATACACAACCAAAATTGTATTAGGATAAGTCCTAATTACCAGAGATGTAAAAAACACACACACAATAGAACATCTTAGAGGTTAGGTTCTCCCTGTATTGATAGGAGAGACAGCTACCAGGTAGTCAGCCAGGGAGAAACAATTCTAGGTTAATGAGGATAGAAGAGGAGTCTATAATCAATTTGTACAACTTAATATTGTATTAATATGGCATCCTACTCTAGTGTTTCTTGAAGTGGGGGGAGGTCTAACAATCACTTATATCAAAGTTAACTTGCATGCTTCGTAAAGTGGATGGTCCTGGATTGCACTCACATACCAAAATCTGATTCTGGGAATAAGAGGCTCAGTCTCTGCACTTTAGCATGTTTGTTCTGGGGATTCTCATTTTCTCTAAAATCTTGCCAGAAAGTAACTCATATATTATTCCAGAACAGCTTCAGGGCTAGTCACTGAAAATCAATATCCTCTTGATCCAAGAATGGGCTCTAATTGACCTGTAGGACTTCCATTGACATTGACTCTAATTTTCACATACAATTAGTTTGTGTGTTTTGTATGAAGATTTGTTCACATGATTTCTAAAATCTCTAACAGGCAAAAAGAAAGCCCTAAAGAATTTTTGTTCCTCTCTCCCCTCTTACTTCTTTTTCTTTGTCTCTCTTGTATATGTCAGGTTAGGAACCTCAATATTCTCAAACACTAATTAAGCATTTACTTATTGACTTCTCTATCTTCCAAAACACAGTATGTCTATATCTTCTTCAAAAACTTCAAGCAGAAGTCCATTAGCACCTGGCTACTTCTCTTACTGCATGCATGTCTTCAAATTTTTGTAAGTTTGGATCTCCAGATTTTAATAAATCGAATTGGACAGGTGGCCAAATTATACCTGATACCTTAGGGAGAGAAAATGTGTGCGGGATGTCTTCTCTGTCCCAGTGGTATCAATACCAACGTTTTGCCTCCCAGTACCGCTTTAGTGGTCATGGTTGGGCAAAGCATTGTTTTTTTTTGTTTTTTGTTTTTACATACCAATTCAGTCACTTCCTTGTATTATGGTCAAATCACTAATGCTTATGAATAAAGGTAAAAGAAAAGTAGCAATGAAACCTGAATACCTGTTGAGTGCCGGCCCAGCTTGAGCATGCGCAGAGCTCTGAGCAGCCTCAAAACCTGGACAAGGCGCCCCACGTTTTCCAGCTCCTGTGTGGTGTGGCTTCCGCTGAGGCTCTCCACCAGAAGCGTGATGTAGAAGGGCAGGATAGCGAGGAGGTCTATGATGTTAGGCACCTTTCTCAGGAAGCGGCACCTGTCCCGCACACAAAGAAAGCGCAGGACGAACTCCCCGGTGAACCAGCTAATGCACACATATTCCAGGATTTCCAACAGCTGCAAGTTCAGCCAGCTTAACTCAGCTGACATCAGGGCCATGTTGACTATGGACACGGCCACAAAGATGATGGAGATGACCCCAAAGATTCGTGCAGCTGTGGAAGAGCCAGGTTTCTCCAGGACATCCCAGAGCTTCTGGCGGACAGTGGGACAAGGTCCTTGAGAGAAATCCTGTTCGCTCTCATGTTGGCTTTCTTGGTCGTCTGTGTCCTTCTTAAAGTCTAGTGTTTCACTCAGCTCCTTTCTTCGAAAGTATCTTTTGGAGAAGACAACTTAGTGATTAGTTTAACTTCATAAAAACACAGGGTTAGAAAAGAATTAAACCTGAGAGGGAAAGTCACACTTTTTATCCTAATATAAGGCACAAGGTGTCTATTTATACTGCATCCGGATTGTTGCCTGCCCTGAGAATATTCTCAGAATCATGGCTTTTTTTTTTTTTTTTTTTTAAAGTGACACTTGCATCCAGGCACTGGTGGCTCATGGCTATAATCCTAGCTACTCAGGAAGTGGTAGAACACTAGCTTTGAGCAAAAAAGCTCAGGGACAGCACCCAATCCCTGAGTTCAAGTCCCAGGACACCCACAAACATATACACACACACATTTTCTTAGCTAACATTTAGGCAGAGAAATTTATATATTTATTACATATTTATATATATAACAAGGCAACTTTGGATCTATGCCTTTTTCTGACCCACTTTCTTGTAACAAGAAGAGCTCCTTGGCACATGGAATCTGTGTGTGTGTACGTGTGTGTGTGTGTGTGTAAATGAAAGGTATCTATGAAGAATGAAGTGGTAGTGACAAAACGGCAGGTCACCAGCAAAACTCCACAGTCTTGTAGGCAAATAACTTTCCTTCTGTTTTTAAGCACTTCATGAAAGTTTTTCCAACATTAGTCTCTTGGATTCAGGAATGAGAAAACTTTACACCAAAACTTTCATCCCTGTGCATCATTTGAAGAATTACCTTTCTGACTCTTTAATTTAGTCACAGAATGTTCCCAATATGAGCTCTCTGGGATTTCATATGAAATTAGCATAACTCACTGATACAAAAGGGACACAACGGGACAAAAGTTGGCTGGCAGCTCATGCCTGTACTCAGGAGACTGAGATCTGAGGATCCTAGTTTGGAGCCAGCTTGGCCAGAAAAATCAGAGACTCCTGTCCAATTAGCTAGTAAAAAGCTAGAAGTGGAGCTGTGGCTCAAGTGCCAGCCCTGAACAAAGAAGCAAAGAGACAGCTCCAAGGCCTTGAAAACGACAGAGAGAGAGACAAAGAGAGAGACAGAGAGACAAGAGAGACAGAGAGAGAGACAGAGACAGAAGGGGGGAGGGAGGGGGGAGGAGAGTTGGCTTTACACTTTTGAGCTCCACATCTCCACTTTACCTTCCAGACCAGAAGTGACCACCCCTATTCTTAGGCCGGGGTTCAAGGAAAAGCTTCGGGAAAGAATGTTCCCAGTGTGCAGTCCGCCTCTCCAGGCAACCCCTGTCTCCCTCCCGACCCGGCCACCGAGCTCCTCCGGTCCGGTCCTACCTGTCCCTGCAGCAGGAGTCAATGCTGAGTTCGTCGATGCCCCAGTACTGGATCTCCTGGAGGAAGGAGAGCGCACACAGCTGCTCCATCACGTGCAGGCGGCCGGTGCGGTAGTAGTGCAGGACGTAGCGGAAAGCCTGCGAGCTGCGGTCGAAGAAGTACTCGTTGTCCACCGGGTTGGCGTCGTCGCACAGCTCCAGGGGGCTGGGCGCCGCGGCCAGGGCTCCCAGGCGGCGGTAGGAGGCCACCACCACGGCCAGCTTGCCCAGGCGCGTGTGCGGGAAGCAGGACAGCGCCTGCTGCGAGAGCACGAAGCGGCTGCCGCCCACGTTGACCGTGAAGCAGTCCCCGAGCGCCAGGGGCTCGCCTTCGCCCTCGCTGCAGAACACGCTGGAGTCTAGGGAGCTCAGCGACCCGCTGTCCAGCAGCGAGCTGGGCGGCGAGCGGCCGCACAGGGGCAGCTCGTCCATGCTCACCGGACCGCCGCCGGGCGCCACAAAGTTGCGGACGCGCTGCCGGCCTCGGTCCCCGGAGGGCGGTGGCACGATCCCGGGTGGCGCGCGGGATTTCCCAGGTTCCTGATGGAGATGCCGCCCACTCGCTCACCCCCTCCCGTCTCCACCCCCACCTCCCCTTCCCCCCCACCCGGGCTCCTCCGCGTCGCTAGGGAGCTGCCAGGGAGCGGCGGCGGCGACAGCTCGCAAGTGGCAGCGCCAGGAGGCTGGTGGGGAGAGGAGGGCTCGCAGGGGAGAAGATCCCAACTCAGGGGGGCGGGATCCCCAAGGCCCAACCCGGAGATTCCCCACCCAGCACCCCAGAGGTGCAGAGATCCAAAGCCTGGCTCTTGGCTGGGAAGGGATGGGGAAGGGAGTGGAAAGGTTGGGGGGGGGGCGGGGAGAAGTAAAGTGGAGCAGAAATGGGTGGGGTGGGGGGAATGGGGAGACTCACTCCTAACAGCTGGAGACCAAACAAAAAGTTCTGAAAGCAGAGGAGGTGGCAGCAGGCTCCCAGAGCCTTCTAGCTCCAGGATTTAGAGCCCTGGGTCTTTGATCGTCTTTGCTGGCCCCTTTCCTGGGGGCTGGGAACGCGATGTGGAGAGTGCCGGGCTGCACCGTTCACAGCGTCCTCCCCAATTCACTCCCATCCCAGCCTGATTGTCAGGCGTGCACGCGCTCCATTTTCTTCTCCTTCCTCCTCCTCCTCTTCCTCCTCTAGGCTTTGACTTCCTACTTGAGAAAGAAGGCTTATTAGTATTTTTTAAGATGTTGAGGCCACAGAAAACCAGTTAAAACGACATGTATTAATTCCCTCCCACACACTCATGTGCATATATATATGTATATATGTATATATACATATGTGTATTTTTTTTTCCTGTGTGGTCATATGGCACTCTTCCTAAATTTCCCCGAATTTCTGGGCACCTTACAAAGCCCACAGCACAACTCTGATTTTAGGAAACGAGAAAGGAAAAGGAAAATAAGGAATAGAATAGATCAGATGTGAGCTGATGGCACGAGTTTAAGTAATAATGCTTTCTCGGTCAAAGGTGCAGGTGTCCAAGAAAGACTAGAAAGGGATTCACCCAGCACATCAGAGTTGCTCCCAGACTAACCTGTTACATACCCTGCAGGTAGGGTGGGGTGGGGTGGGAGGAGGAAAGGCAAGTGACTCACCTGTCACTTCAGGAACAATCGGGCTGAGCTAGCTAGGTTCTTGCAGCTGATTGTGTAGCTTTCTTTTGATCCTCCTGATGTACACGTGAGGTCTAACTTAAAGCTGTCCAGAAGGGAAACTGCGCACAGCTGAGCGCTCTGCTATGCTAGCACTTGCTGCCTGGGCACGCCTCCACCCACTTCCTGGCTCAGGGCCTTAGGTCTTTGCTGGGCTGGCAGACTCGTCTGAGCTCACTAAGAGCCAGGCTGCCTGGAAGTGCCCAGCTCTACCAGAGAGGAATGGAAGGAGCTGAACAGAGAGAGGGCAAAAGAGGCTCTCAATTGACACTGAATATTATATCCATCCTGAAAACGCTTCTTGAATTGTTGTACTTGATTCCTGTTCCTTGCAATCTGTGTCCACACAAGTGCTCAAAAATTTGGAAGCATTGCTTTTTGAAGTGTTGGGTGCACTACCTGGCCTTTGTAACTGTAACCTCTCTGAACATCACCTTTACTATAACAATAAATAAAATAAAAAAGAAATAAATCATTTATGTTGGCATCAGTAATCATTAGGATTGTTTCATGCAATGTGGAAAAAACAGAAACTGGATAAGTAGGCTAACCTTGGTGTTAGGGCACTTATATTAACTGATTTGTTTGGTGTTCGACATTTTCTCATTATTTGTAGCAAGAATTCCACAACCTTTATTTTTTCCAGATTGTGAGCTCCTCTTCTTGCTGTTATGTCTAGTAAGCAGCTTCAGCAGGCTATGGGTGTACAGTTAAGCATTGAGGAGACCATTTTCATAGGTTGGATAGATATGTGGTTATTTAACAATGGCTTTGCCTACTGGCTGAGGGGCCAACCAGTAGCTGCCATTTACTTCATTAATACAATGCCTCATCTTCTTTCTAGTTTTACTAAATCTATCCACTCTTTAGGGAACCAGAAAGTTCCTCAAGTCTTTTGCTCATGTAATATCTTAATTATGCAATAAGACTAGGAAGTAATACTATTTCCCTTTTATGGAGAAGAAATGGAAACATGAATTTACTTAGAGTCACATAATACAAATTTAAACCCTTAATTACATGCCAAAGCCTGTCTTTATAAGCAAAATATTAGAAAAGTATTTTTTGTTAATTTTTAAGTAATTTAAAATGTGCTTAGTCTTGTTTTAGCTTTTAGAAGGTACTAACTAAAGAAGGGTAAGAGTTTCAGGTTTATTCCCTAATGTGCTTTAAATACATCAGAAAAGAAAACAGACAAGATCTCTGCCCTTGTGAAACTTAAGAATTAGCTAGGTGCTGATGGCTCACACCTGTAATCCTAACTACTCAGGAGGCTGAGATCTAAGGATCATAGCAAATAGCCAGCCAAGGTAGGAAAGTCCGTGAGACTAGGATCTCCAATTAACTATCAAAAAGCCAAAAGTGAGCTGTGGAACACTTGATAGAGCAAAGAAGCTCAAGGACAGCACCCAGATCCTGAGTTCAAGCTCCAGATTGGGTACACACTCAGACACATGCGCTCAGGCGCACACACGTGCACACACACACTATCCTAAATACTAAAACAGCAAAAAAAAAAAATTAAAGTACATGTCGAAGTTATAGTCCTACTGACTGCTATCCATTTGATTAACTTTTGATTCTTTTAAGAACTCTTCCATAAACAAATGTGAAGAGGATAAACTTATCCCAGTAAATAGTTCATCATTATGTTTAGGTACTGCAGTCATTATTTTTTTAAGGTAACAGAGTATTACTTTATTCAAAGTATTCCTTTGAAGGAAAAGTGTTCAATTACAAATGGTTCAGATATTGAAAAAGTAAAAAATACATATTTTTGTTAAACCATACCATGATGAATAATCAAGATCTACAACCACTTTGCAGATTATGGTAGGGAGCCAGAAAGCTTTCATAGACCATGATCATCTTAGGTGAAGGGAAGCTCTTAGACCTATAACCAGAGGCTAGTGTCAGGTGACTGTGAGACTTGTGTATCTAATTCCCTGCCACTAAACACCTGACCTACCTAGATTGTGAGGAGTAACAATCAAAACCACCACCTGTTAAGTCTCAGGTATTTTGTTTTGCATCTGAGATTTTTATAGTGATCTAATAGAGTGAGCATTATCATCTCTACACAAAGCTTTTAATTTAGATGCATACAGGACTAAGTAACTTTCCAATTTACATATTAAATATATGAGAGTGTAGGAAAGAATTAAGGACAAGATCTTTCTGATTCCAATTTGTCTCAGCTGCTAAGAGCATAAAAATTTCATAATTATAATAACAGCAATTTACATCAATTAAGGCAATCGTAAGTATAGGCATGCATGCTGACTTTTCTTTTTAATGGTTTTTTTTTTGTAAAAATAGTGTTCAGAGGGGTTACAGTTACATGAGTAAGGTAATGAGTACATTTCCTGTCAAGCATTGTTAGCTTCTCTTTTGTTTATCCCCTACCATCCCTTTCCTCCCCATCTCCCCAACTCCTCCCTCCCTGCGAAGTTTTCAATATAGTATCTTATACATCTCATTGTTACAATGGGTCAACCTGTATCCTTATTTCGGAATTTTGTTATATCCCTTCCCCTCCCCAAGTTAGAAAAATGTATATACAAGATGCAGGGAACCAACATCAAATACAGTGAAAACAGGGGTTATACCATGGGGGAAGCACATACAAAAGAAGCAAAAAAATCACATAGTACATTTTAAATACATTAAAACAATAGCAAGAAAGGAAAAAAATTTGTGTCTCTATCTTGGGGTTCATTTTACTTAACATCATCTTATATGGTCATATGTACATAGCTTTTGACCTTTTCTGCTTGTCCTTGACTTATACTGGTTATTGCATGCTGACTTTTCAACTGGGAACATGTAAACATGGATGACCTCTTTGTTTTATTTTTATTTTAATTAATTAATTAATTTCATTTATGTATTATTTTTGTCAGTCCTGGGGCTTGAACTGTGGGCTTGGCTGCTGTTCCTGAGCTTCCTCCATTCAAGGCGAGTGTCCTACCACTTGAGCCACATTGACACTTCCAGGTTTTTTGAGTAGTTTTTTTTTTTTTTTTTTTTTTTTTTTTGAGATATGATTCTCGTGGAGGAGTTTCCTGCCAGGTTGGCTTCCAATCACAGTCCTCAGATCTCAGCCACCCAAGTAGCTAGAATTACAGGTGTGAGCCACCAGTACCTGGCAAAGGACTCCTTTTAAAACAGTCTTATGCTTTTATTTTTTATTTTTTTTTTGTCAGTTGTCAGACTTGGACTCTAGGCCTAAGTGCTATCTCTGAGCTCTTCAGCTTAAGAAGAGCCCTCTACCACTTGAGCCACAGCACCACTTCCAAAAACAGTCTCTTGAATAATAAAAATTATTGACTTTTCCCCTGCTACATTCTCTTACATCGGTTAACTTGTCTCCCTTTTGGATTGCCTAGGAGTGAGAGCTAAAAGCTGATGATAGGATTTTGAAAAGAGATGCATCCTGTTCTCTGCCCCTGACCTGACAAATACCCTAAGATATGCTAAGAAGTGAAGGAAGATTACTGGTAGATATTTGGAAGTGACAAGGTCTGGCTTTCCATGTTATTCCTACATGGCATGGGAGGAAGATGGCTGTCAGGGGCAGGTTGTATAGTATTGCAGTATGAAAGTTCAACAATCCAGTGACTTTGAATATATTTACTTTCTAGTCATTGCATGTCACATTTGAGTGAGTTTCCATTAGGAGTCTTGAGGTGAAGTGCTCTATCAATTTTTTGCTTCATCTATCAAGTCTGGTCCAG